AAACTGTTCTGCAAGAATGGATTCTGATATTACAAACTTGACAAAATGAAACTTCAAGAAAAACAGCATTTTCTTGAAAGACTGAATGGGCTAAAGACATGACATTGATTCTAACCAAGTACATGATTACAAAGTTACTCAAAGAAAACCATCTGATCTTCTGACCAGATTCAGCAAAATAATTTACTTGAAGCATTTACCATTTTCAGAATAATTGCAAGTGTCTATAACAGCTTTTCCTTAGTCTAAAAGATTTCAAATTCTTATAACACACGGGCTGTCAATCATTGCATCATTTTAGCAAAGAAAACGATGACTTACCTCAAACCAAGCGACAGCACATCTCATGTATCCTACGACGGAAATGAAAATTACTTACCAAAAAAAGGGGCACGTATTCCGCATGACATGCTGAAGATGGAATATTTAGATTAAAAACAAGTCCGTCGCAGGAGTCTTTATAAAAGTATTTTGTTATGCAAAATACTTGATGTCCTCTCCCAGTTGTCGACGAATGAAAAAACTGCTCGGCCGATAAAAGCAGTTGGTGTTCTCGAATCAAGACGAATAACTGATGTATTTTGTCTATATTTCTAAGATGAGGTATTATGTACATTATTTACATTATTCAGACTATTGTCCTCCTCTTTGTTGCTATATCTATTACGTTTCGGCTGTTGTACGTTCTGGCCTTCAAGGACACATGGCACAGTGGATAAAGGTGTTGGTTAGATCCAGTGACAGAACCCAACGAGTGTGAGTTCAATACCCAGCTAAGGCAGTGGAGAACTTTCAGAGGGAAAATTAACAGGAGATAACTGATAACTGACATTCATTAAACATGGCACATGGAACTAGAACAGTCTACCCCAGTGAGCGAAATAAAGGGTTCAGTTCGACATTCCAACCACCTGAAGAAGGCCAGAGCGTACAACAGCCAAAACGTTGTAATAGATATGGCGACAAAGATGAGGACAATAGTCCGAATAATGTAAATAATGATGTATTTTGGCTACCGCGTTCATCGGCGAGTGAGTTATTTTTCTCATTGGTTACATGCATTGGGATTTGTCGGATAGTACCTGCGAATTTTCGGCATTTCTTTCTGCCCCTGATATTCTTACAGAGATTTGTTCTCTGTGTTGTGGAATTAATCTGTGACAAACATTTCCTTTGCTTTCAGAATGCTTACAATCATTTGTCAACTATTTGGTCAGCCAAAAATGTTGGTGTAAAATCATTTACATCAAAACTCATTGGTATTAAATTACCTCTGCAGGATATTCTCGAATGTAATCTGATACCAAAGATCATAAATGAAGTATCAGGAGCTATTTAGCTCATGTCTTCTTTCAGATGTACGTTCACGTCATCGATCAGTTTCAGAACCCTTGCTCCTCCTAATGCAACACTGGCAAGCGATACCACTGTTGATATTGAAATGGACAAAATTAAAATGTTAATGAAAATAATCTGCAGAAAGTGAGATATCAACTTGACATTCTACTGACAGAATCAAAACAAATTAAGTCTGCAAATTGAAATTATAATCAAATGAGCAAAAACTTTTTACTTTTTTATAGAAACCAGTCTTGTGATGAAATACAGGCTGACACATTGGACAATATATTTATTTTTTATTGATTCTATCATTGATGGTCTAACAAGATTTGAATTATCAAAGAGAATATTAGATATTTTTTATTCTTTTCACAATACTTGTCTATTGAAAAATCTTTTCACTTCAAAGTGTGTATCATCTACAGAAAATACCAAAAAAAAAATACACAAAAACCATTCTACTTTGGAGAACTACAATTTAAATCTACAGATTCACTTCATAAAATATATAGGTTGCAAACCATTGTTCCAAATCTTTGTCCATCACTCCTTATGCCTGCAACTATAACTTAATCAATAAACTCATTTCAGTCAGTCAAGTTGCACACATGATACAAACTTGGGTGATCATGTATCTTTCAATACATGACTAACGAGGCAGAAGATTTTTCCTACAGTAGGTTGCCATTTCTTTCTGTGGTAGACTGGTTTCCAACCAAGGCTAAAGAACCCAGTCTTCTCCTGTTATTCAACCCATATCTGGGGGGGGAGAAGAAATGGATTCATACGTTTCCCAATTGTGCCAATTTTTCCCAATTGTGCGTATTTGTGCATAAGTGAATATAACAAACTCAGTTGGGATTTGAACTCGGCTCAGAGTTCTCATTCCAAGCCGATATTCATTACACCACAATGCACATCTAATTTACTAAGCTTAAACTAATAAAAAATCTCACAAAGTCATTTGATGGCTGTAGGTTGACTAAATTGAATATAAACACTGTCAAAATTCATTTTCAAAATTTTATACAAAGCTTTGCACTTAATAAAAGAAAAGCATGTAAAGTACTGAAAAAATGAAAACTCAATTGTAGGTATGTTCACACTATTGAAATTTCTCTCTGTCGTCTGTGTGTGTGTGTGTATATATATATATATATATATATATATATATATATATATACACACACATACACACACATACTATGAACCTAAAGAGCCAGGCATAGTTCATAGTTAGATTTGCTCTACTTAGTGTATTGAGCACTTTGCTTAGTTACTTTTGCTTTACTCGTGTCAGAGGGTTTTTTTCTTTGGACTCTGAGCTTGGATTCTGGACGATTGTTTTCGCCTCAATTACATGTTCTAATTCTTTCTTTTTTTTATTTCTTATTTTTCCTTGGGTATTGGTTTGTTCATTTACAAGCCAAAACACCTAAGGTTTTTCCAGATGAGTATAATTACTTATATTTATAAGATATATATATATATATATATATATAATATAAAATGAATAATGGCAGTGGTGTACAGATTGTGACACTTGTATAACCCATGAAATTTTGTCACTTTTTACTAAAGTCTTTTAGATTAGTTTTAATATTGCATCATCTGTCATATGTAAATATTGTTGCATGTGTAGAATAATTAAACACTTTTTTACCAACAGATTTTAATTTCAAAGATGAGGTTACAATTAATATAGAAATAAGCTCATACTGCAAATAGCTTTTCCTTCTTGTTTCATCAAACAATGTCAAATTTATATGCAAAAAATAATTTTCATTTAATTTGTCTAAATTTACAAGCAATGCATTTTTTCTATATTTAATTCTCAATTCTCCTTCATAAATGTTTTATTTTAATTTTATTAAAAAAATCAATTAAATTAAATATTTTGAAGTCCAGTGTCTTCAGCAGGATTTGAACACAACTCTTTGAATACAGCAATCAGGCACTTAGCATTGACCAACAGTAGTCTTTCACTTTGTATATTAGACTATAAAAGTCTAATGTAAGTGTAATAAATAAACAGGCATCTAGAGGTTATTAAAAAAGTAAATTTCTTCTATTAATTTGTTTCTTAAAAATAAGGATACTAGGAATTTTTGCACAGAACGGATTGTTATAAAAGAGAAAATGAAAACTTGTTCTTACTTTGTAGAATAAATGTTCTTTTTATGCCAGAATAACATGTCTAATTGGTTCTGCAAGGAACTCCTTTAGAATCTCAGTAAATCAATGGGTTAGGAATAGCTGATATTCAAGTTGACCTTTTTATAATCAATCCTGGGAAAAAAAAGTGGCATTCCACAGTGGATTTCGTAATTGTCTCAGAGGAAGAAATTAAAACATGGTTAGTCAATCAGATTGTGAATCTTAATGTAATATGAGTGATGACAGGAGATAGAACTGTGATTAGGGGAGGGGAGAAGTTAATTTAAATGTATTAGACCAAGGAGATGAGTTTAAAAAAACAAAAAAAAACAACTTTAGCAAATGCAGTCAAAAATATAAAAGCTAGTCAGTCATGCTATATTAATTTCAAACAAGGAACAGTCATTTCTTAAGATTTGCATGAGGTTAAAAAAAACCCAACAAAAATGCTAATAGCATGACATCTTTACTCTTTTCTGTAAGTGTCAGTCTTTATTTCAATTTCTAAACATATTTTGAAAGTTGGTTGAACTACTGAACTCATTGTTTTTGTTCTAATAATTTTGCAGATTTATTCTCCAGCTTTTTTCACATGCAATTCATAAAAAGAACAATTTTTACATTTTTCTCCTCCTGTTTGTCTTCTATATTTCTTTAATGTATTAGTACTTGTTGTTTTATCTACTCATTTACTTATCAAAATTACTAATAAATAGCATAATCTCTGTCTGAATTTCTGGGATGATGAATTATCATTATTTACATGCAGAAAATTGCCCTAATCTTTGTTGTCATAAACAATAATAAAAACAAAAGTTAAATACAGTAGTCAGAATGTAAGGTCTGTTTAAGACATATCCAGCCATTTTGAATATTTTGAGAACCAATTGTACATCTGGGTCTAATTTGATAACCAATCAGAGTTAACCTTATTGCACATGTGTAAGCAGACACACTCACCTGGAATATGCTCAATCACTAATGAAACACCATTTACTGAAACTTGATGCTGTGAGGCTATCATGTTCACAAATGGCCAAGTGAGTAGTCTTCATTTGTTGTGCAGTTTTGTTTTTTGTTTTTTTAGTAAAAATGCTCCCCTTCCCCGGTATCAGCTTCACACTTCAAACTGTATTTTGGGCCCTGAAATGTTTGACTGTTCTTGAACTTATTCATTGTTGAACACATTGGATAAGATGAAAGAAAATGTGGTGTCATTCTTATGTGTTCCTGAAAGAGGTTTTATTCAAACTGTTTTCAAAAGTAGAGCAAATGCAGAGATAAGGGTTTGAATTCTTAAGGCTAATATTTTTGAAAAAGGACTAAGTCATTACCCTAAGTAGGCTTTATTTTTTTTCCCCCATAAAGATTGGATCACTTTCTGGCAGACCTAGTATTTTGAAAAATATTTTTGTCATGCAACTATCATTTCTATCATTATTTATTCTAGTTTCCACTATAAAAACAAAAATTAAAGTTCTTTTCTTTTTTTCTGTTTTCAGATGACAAACAATACAACTGCTTTCTTTACTGAGGCCATAACTCACTCTAATCTGTCCACAAACATCACCGTAATGCCAAGCACCCAGGTTTCTACCACAACAGCTACTGCAGCTGGGGCTGCAGGAATTCCAAGCTTAAGTACAACTATCTCCTCCCTTGCCCAGGATATCATTTCCAGTCCTGATTCTCTGTTAAGCAACACGACGGCAAACACCACCAGACTACAGCCTTTAATTTTCCTCCAAACAACTGCAGCTCAAATAATTGCTGGAACATTTGCCTTTGCGTCTATTCTGATTACAGTTTACCAAGTAAGTGTTTCTTTCTTTCTAATCAACTGTTGTTTGCATGTGTAAATGTGACTAGATTGGCCGGGGTGGGACTAAACTTGAGATTCCAATGCACTTATAGTCCCCAATTCTACCTTTTTAATTACTTACCTGACAAGGTAATCTGCCATCTCTGATAGTGCCTGCTATTTTCTTCAACTCTTAGTTTTTAGAGAATTGAAGTAGAAAGTAGAAATTTCTTCAAGGGCAGTAACATTTATTTGTGAATTTTTTTTTTCTACTACTGCCAAGGCAGGTATAGTAATTATGAGAGAGGGAGGTTTTCAAAAGTGTTTGCTCACTTTTCTCAACAGTTGTGATAACAAAACATTTTGCCAAAATACGTGACAGATGAAATACTTCAGGGAAAAATAGTGTCATGCATTTATCAATGTCAATCGTGCCAAGGGAACAGAAGTTTAGATTGCTAACTCTGTTTTCTATAGCACCTTGAATTTAGATAAGGAAATATCTATCTAAATTTTGCAAAAATAACAAAGTAAATTTTTTCTTTATATATAGTTTTTGCAACTCATCTCCTGTGATACACTTAAAGAATTTACATATAAATAGTTTGTTTATTCTTACTTAGAAAAGAAAATCAAAGTACAGGGTGACCCCAAAAAACGGGAATTTTTTAAGTGCGTATTGCCAGACATGAGCAAGTGGCAACACTGCGAGACAGTAACCTTGAGCAAGTAAACATTTCACCATTTAGAATTCAAGATGAAATTCACAGTATCCCAGCTGAGATGTTGCAGCAGTCAATGAGGAATCTCAACAGCAGATTTCAAGAATGCATTCATACAGGAGGACGCCATCTACAGGACGTAATTTTTAAAAAATGAAAATTCCATCATTGTTTCTTAAATGGCATGTTTTAAGGTTTCAATTACTATGAATAAAATATTTTTCTTCCATCACTCTTGATTTTATTGGATTGTTAAAAAGTTCCCGTTTTTTTGGGGTCACTCTGTATAACTTGAACCACTTTTGACTCCTTTAGGCCTGGAGCTGCTACCTGAGCATTTCATATCACCAGTCAATCTCCAACCAGACCCCCCCCCCCCCCAACCTATGTTTGAGTTTTCATTTTTGAATGTCTTGGGCAAAGCTGTTGAAATGCTCTCAGGATTGAAGCGGGGGGAAAAGTTATAAGAAAAATAAAGAAATTTACGTTCAGACTCTTGCCTGTAGAAACAAGAACAGTTTATTTTTTAGTTAGATGTCTGGTTTTATTCACAGTATATCACAACACCAGCAATACCTGGACATTTGAATAGTTGTTGGTTCAACAATTCAAATAGAAAACTTTGATCTTGGGCATACAGACCAGTTTGATCTTCAATTCTAAATGATGAAATTATTCTCAGGCAGTATCTTGCAAGAGATGCTCAAGTAAGTGGTGAAAAGGGGTAGTGGTTTCAACTCCTCTGTTGATGTCTCCAGCTCTGACTACTTCAGACTCTGACTTGCCTCTATAGACAAGATTTGCATATGGGCTTAACAAGAGTCAGAGAAATGATTTGTCAAACTCAGTCATGGTCAGTCAAATTGACCTCAATAGACAATCAAAGTAGAATGGTGAATAGTATAAAAAAAACTAACATTTTCTACTGAATTTTGGCCAAGATTCTACCTACTTTAGGGCCAACAGTTTTATCTTTTTTTTTTTTTTCAGCAGCAGTTGGAGATGAGTGGTGGATTCTCTTTGTTTCACTCTACCCTACTAGTTAAAACATAAGTTCAAACCCAGACAATTCCAGTTACTATTCATTTTAATTAAATGCTTTTTTTTTTCTCCAACAACCTGTTAAAAAAAAAGCCAGGCGACTTAAAGTATGCTAGTAAAATCTAAAGTACCTAGCTTGGCCAGTTAGCTTTTCACATCAATTTTTCACATTGTGTCCCATTCCAACTGTCAGCAGGTATAGATTCATACACTTGTAAAATCCACACCAATAACTCTGTTAAAAAAGCATTACATTTTTCTTTTTAATGGTTTTGTTTTTCTACCTTTACCACTTTGCATTTTTTTTTTTTTTTTTAACATTTAGGAAAAGTGCTGTCATCTTAAAGACTACATTGATTGATGAGTGCATAATTCAAAATACTGCCCTCTGAATCCATTTTGAAAAATGTACTTCATTATCAAACAGCATACAGCAGGCTCTCAGAAAATTGAAATTTTGAATATAAGCATACATAATGATTAACATATCCTTTATTATTATTATTAAACCTACAAATTCATCATCTGTTAATCTTGTTTTTTAAGTTTAAATCTTTAATTATTAGGGAAATGCAAGAGTTTATTTCTTTTTTAACACTTGAAAATTTCTGTAATGAATTTTTGGGAAATCTTATAGAAAGAGCTTTTGTTATTTGGACTCTGAACATTGCAAATGTCTTCTTTTGGTTACACATAGAAAAAAGCCATATTTAACAAAATGAAATATAGTGCTTTTTATCTCAATGGCTAATGCTGTTAAAGAAATAAAAGAAGAATTAAGTGAAAAAGAATTTTCCTATGCATAATCTTTTTACTAAGCCTATAAGTAAGACTTTCTCAGCAGTTTGGTCAATTCAAATACACTAGTACTTTGTTTTATGTTTCCTCTGTGAATGAAACATAAGAAAGCTTTAATATTGCAGCAATGTTTCAGTCAACAGCACACACACACACACACACACACACACAAACACATTCTGATGGCTTACTTGTCTCCAGACTTAACTGAACTCTGTGTCTAGTTCAGATAGATTAGAAGCAATTTGAACATGACCACTTTTGACAATGGTGATCTTATCTGAAAGTCTATGTGAAATAACTCTGACTTCAAAGTAACTTTCAGAAAACAACGTAAATTTTGAACAGAGCAGGAAAGATCTGGTAGAGCTGATTTGTTGTTGGCAAGAATTAGAAGTTCACAAGAAGAAAGCAAAATAGTTAACTTTTGCTGAAAAAATAACATTCTATCAATCAGTAAAATCAAATTTATTTTTGTTGCATATTTTTTACTTTGTTGTGGAGTAGCTGAACACCCCCACAAGATGGACTGATCTAAGACTATTTAAACAGCACTCTCTCTCTCACTGAAAGAGAGGAGTTAATGATTTAACTGTTTATTACATTAGTCTGTCTTCTCAAACATGTACCATATTATTTTACGAAATAAACTACTTATTTTTTATGTGCAGGTCAACCTTTCCTATTTATGACACATCACACTTGTTGCTAAAAGGATTTATAAGATTTTTCTATTTATAATATATGTAGGCCTACCTATTTTGAATAATTGAAATGATTTGTTTGCCTAAAAACGGTTTTCCTTTCACAAAGTTTCTGATAACAAAATGAAAAGTGAAACAATTTTATTGAATTATTCATATTTCATGATTCACTTCAATTATCATCAGCCAATTATGACCATTTATTTTTCAGAAAGTTAAACAAAATTTTAAAAATTTAATTGCCACTACAGTTCATTAATAAGTTGAATGTATCAAGATGTCTGGGAATGGCACCAAAAACTATTCAAGTCAAAGCAAGATTAAAAATGAAATTTTCATATAACTAGCAGTATCCATGAAAATTTAAGTTCTCATTTTAATTTTCTGATGAATTGTAATTACAAGTTCCATGAATATAAAATTATAAAATACCTGTGGAAATTCACCTATTGCCTTGTTAAATATTTGAGCTTAACAACTTTAACCAAATATTGTAATGACACTCATAAATCTGAATGCAGGTCATTCTTTGCAGAAAAAAGTGATTTTGATCCTCACCAGATGTTCAGTATTTTTGAACTTGTGTCAGACTAAGCTGAGCTGAGTAGATATCTAACCAAATTTTGATGACTAACCAAAATGATCACCACTATGTCTAACATATTCTATTTTTATTTATTTTTTTAACTCGTGCTAAATTGTTTTTGTTTTCATCATGTACAACTCTGAAAAGATCTGTCGTGTGTGTGTATACATCCCACACAAATGTTCCAGGGTAGAAAGAAATTAAGAGGAACCAAAGAAAAATTGAATTAACATGTTCAGTGCATGACTTCAATGCTAACGTTTTCAATAAAGACATTGAATTTGCCTTCATGTTTTGCTATTATTTCTTTCAATTTTATAAATTTACTTTGTTGAAATTGATTCCTGATTAATTTTAACTCGAGATGTCAGCATTATCATGACATGAACGATCTTATTTTACAGAAGAACAATATCAAAACCTGCAAAGATAGCATCTATTGTTCTAAATTTCTTTTAACTTTAAACTCCAAATCAAGGACTTTTAAAAAATGGGAATAGAATGATTTTAGATATTTTTTATAAGTATAAAATTATACATTTTCTAGTGATACTAAATTTGACTAAAATTTGTTATTTAATATGACTTTATGAAATAAAATTTATTTAATGACTTTACTGAAAATAATGCAAATTGAAATTTTCTCTCATTTATCTCTCTGCGTATTTTTCTCCCCATCTCTCTCTCTGCGTATTTTTCTCCCCATCTCTCTCTCTGCGTATTTTTCTCCCCATCTCTCTCTGTGCATATTTTTCTCCCCATCTCTCTCTGTGCATATTTTTCTCCCCATCTCTCTCTGTGCATATTTTTTTTCTCTCCCTCTCTCTCTGTGCATATTTTTCTCCCCATCTCTCTCTGTGCATATTTTTCTCCCCATCTCTCTCTGTGCATATTTTCTCCCTCACCTCTCTGTGCATATCTTTTTCTTTCTCCCATTCTCTCTGTGCATATTTTTCTCCCCATTCTCTCTCTGTGCATATCTTTCTCCCCATTCTCTCTCTGTGCATATCTTTCTCCCCATTCTCTCTCTGTGCATATCTTTCTCCCCATTCTCTCTCTGTGCATATCTTTCTCCCCATTCTCTCTCTGCATATCTTTTCCCCCCCTCTCTCTGTGCATATCTTTCTCCCCATTCTCTCCCTGTGCATATCTTTCTCTCTCT